CGGCTCCCTCCCCTGGGCTGTGTCTGGGGGGCTGGTGCAGGAGGCAGCGTTGTCTCCTTTGGGACAGTAGGCGCTGGGAGCTGCTGCGGAGGTCCAGTGCTCTCTGTAGGGGCTTCTCAGAAGCATGGCTGAGAACACCACCACTGTCCTGTCCTGTGTCAAACTTCTGCCAAGTCCCCCTCTGCAGAGGGGGCCGCAGTTGCTAGGCTGAAGCTGTTGTTGGTCCCGGGGCTGGTGCAGGAGGCAGCGTTGTCTCCTTTGGGACAGTAGGCGCTGGGAGCTGCTGCGGAGGTCCAGTGCTCTCTGTAGGGGCTTCTCAGAAGCATGGCTGAGAACACCACCACTGTCCTGTCCTGTGTCAAACTTCTGCCAAGTCCCCCTCTGCAGAGGGGGCCGCAGTTGCTAGGCTGAAGCTGTTGTTGGTCCCACATGCCCCATAACTAGCAGTTCTGCACTGAGGCAGGGCAAGTCCTGGGGTGTAGTCAGAGGCCAGACTGAGTCTCTTCTACCCACAGCAGCACACAGATACTTCCTGGTGTGACTGATTAGCCCCCCCCCAAAAAAAAATCTCTGCCCTTGGAACTGTTTGAGATGGACTGTGCGTACACCTTGAGCTGGAGGGAGGTAGTTTGTTTGCCTGTCAGTCAGAAAGAAGAGGGTTGCTGTATTTGTGCCAGGCAGGTGAGGAAGATTGTGGCATGTGTTGGTTGTGGTTGTTAAGAATGATCAGTTAGCTTAGGCGTTACCAGAGTGTCCTCTTGGTTCCCAATGGTCAGAAGATCGTAACTTAAATCCAAATCTGCTGCTGACAGGTTGTGTTTGCCCTAAAGGCCCCCTGCAGAGCCGCCTCCTGTCTCATGTCACAACTGTTGTGATTTCAGGGCTTCTGTTTTGCTTTTGTGTCCCAGTGCTTTGGCCACTCCTTCGGAGTCAGACCGAAAGTAACTTCTGAAGGCTGCATTGGGCTTCCTTTAAGTGGCAGCCAAACAAGCACCCTGGTGATCAGGAAGTCTCGCGAGAGAATCTTTCTCGCACTCCTCTTTACATCCAGTTTTTTTTTTTCCCTCTCCCACCAGACAATGGCGAAGTCACTGTTCTACAGGCAGGAAAACACGAGTTCCCCTTCGTGTTCCAGCTCCCAGAGTAAGTTCAGCGTCATTTGTTGTGGTAGCACCATTGCCAGAATCCCTCCCTGTGTCCCACAGGCGACCTGGGTGAGCCTATCGGCCGCTCCCAAGAGCCCGCACACGTGCTCTGGGTGTGGGCTCTGTGGTGGAATCAAGGGCTCTGTGGGGGGAACCCTCCTGACCGTTGTCCCTTCTCCCTGGGCAGGACTCTGGCCACCTCCTTTGAAGGAAGGCATGGGAACGTGCGCTACTGGGTGAAAGCCAAGCTCCACAGACCCTGGTCAGTGGTCAAGAAGGCAAAGAAAGAATTCACGGTGATCGAACCGATTGACATCAACACCCCAGCTTTGCTGGTAAGCGAGTGCCAGCCGGGAGTGACAAGTGATGCTGGGTGCCTGATGTGAGGTGCCTTGAAAGGGCCGGATGCTCCAAACGTGGCGAGTCGTTCGTCCGTCTGTCTGTCTGTCTTCTCCCGCCCCCCTCCCCACCTGCCACGGAGATGCTCCAAAGTCAGTTTCTCTCTATCCCATGTGAAAACTGTGGCTTAAGCGCATAGGCAGCCAAGTCAGCACCTGCCTTGCCTGTTATCCTGGCAGGGTGCCACTGTGCAGTGTCCGAGTCTGAGTCAGCTGACTTGGGCTGGCAGGACTTGCCGTGCGGGGCTATAAATACCTGAGCGGACATCGGGGCTTGGGCTGGAACTTGGCTCTGGCCCCCAGCGGGACGGGGGTGCCTAGGCTGCTATTCTTAGCCCTGCACCAAGCCCAAGTCGGCCGCCCAGGGCTGAGGCTCGCTGCTGGAGGTTTGTTCTTGCTCGGTAAATGTGATCCAGAGATGCGGGAGGAACCGTCAGTGGGACTTCCCCCTCTGCTCCATGGGCGACTAGTCTCTGTCTTCACAGGTCCCCTGGACACTAGCAATAAAACCCCTTGAGGGGGATCCTGGGAGGGAGAGGTGGATGGTGGCTCCTGTTAGGAATGGCTGAAACTTACCTTGCTTCTGTCCCTTCCTCTAGGCTCCTCAGGCAGGTGTGAAGGAGAAGCTGGCCCGTGCCTGGTACTGCAACCGTGGCCAGGTCTCGGTGACAGCCAAGATAGACCGGAAAGGCTACACGCCAGGTAACTCGCTATGCTGAATGTAATTGCCCTGGGGAATGGGGAATGTGGAGTGGAGCTTGGAAGCGGCTCAGGGGTCCCTGGGGCTGTCCTGGTCTGGTGGGAAGCCCCTGACCCCTGCTCAATGTGGCCTTGGTCTGTGCCGCTTCCCAAGAACAAATAAGGGGCTGGCTGGAGTTGCAGGAAGAGGCTCTTGCCTAACAGAGGCGATCCCAGGCCGTGCTGCAGAGAAGCCGGGCCTGGTTTCTCTGACGTGGTGTGTGCCCTGTGGCCGGGCCGGGCTGTTCTATTGAACCCGTCCCTCACCCTCTCTCCACTAGGTGAGGTCATCCCCATCTTTGCTGAAATTGACAACGGCAGCACCCGCACCGTGGTGCCCAAAGCTGCCATCATCCAGATTCAGACGTTCATTGCCCGGGGCACCAAGAAGCAGAAGAAGTCGGTGGTGGCCAGCATTGTGGGCGACGCTGTGGCGGCTGGCAAGAGGGAAGTGTGGCACGGCCGGGCACTGAAGATCCCCCCGGTGGGCCCATCCATCCTGCAGTGCCGCATCATCCGCGTGGAATACGCCCTGAAGGTAGGTAGGATGTGCAACAGGGCGGCCCTGCACCAGGAGGCCTTGAATTAAACCAGTTGCCGAGACAGCTCTGGTAGCTGCCTTGCTGATCCGTGTCTCCGCTGCTTAACTTCATAGCCACGCTGAGCGTGGTTCGGCCCTTCTCCTGTGGGGCGCTTCTTGGGAGGCTTTGTGGGCCGGGCCCCTCCTGCCATGGGTCAGCATCTGCTAAAGATGCTGCATGACGGTGGGGTCAGCAGCAGGGTGAATTTCTAGGTTCTTGACCCACGCGGCTATCCAACACCTGGCTTAGTCTCCTCATTGTCTGAACCAACCCCCCACCCAGAAGAACAGCCGGACTGGGTCAGACCAACAGTCCATCCAACCCGGTGTCCTGTCCACCGACAGTGGCCAGTGCCAGGTACCCCAGCAGGAGGGAACACAACAGGGAATCCTCACGTGATCCCTCCCCTGTCACCCATTTCCAGACACAGGCTAGGGACACCATTCCTGCCCATCCTGGCTGATAGCCATTGATTGATGGACCTCGCCTCTGCTTTGGGCAGGGCTGGGTGCTGCCTGTCACCGGGGGCCGAGGGAAATGCAGAGGAAGGGGCTTTCTGCAGAGATGACACCCTCCCCCTGTGTCGTCCTCCTCAACAGGTGTGTGTCGATATTCCTGGGACCTCCAAGCTGCTCCTGGAGTTGCCCCTTGTGATTGGGACGATCCCGCTGCACCCGTTCGGAAGCCGCACGTCCAGTGTCAGCAGCCAGTACAGCGTCAACCTGGACTGGCTCCGAATGGTGATACCGGAGCAGCCTGAGGGTAAGCTGCCATCTGTGCCTGGGGACCCAGCCCCTTTGAGGTTGAGGGCGGTGGCTCCAAGTCAGCTGGTTGGGGAGGGTGGGTCTGGGCACACACGGGTGGCCTTGATTTCTCTCTGGACTCCTCCTCCTGTGGCTTTGTGGGTCCTGGTGCTGCAGGGACCAGGTATCCGAGGGAGGGGATGTGGCTGAACGCAGAGGTAACAACCAGCACGTCTCCTGCTTGCAGATTCTCACCTTATCCCTCCCCCCAATTCCTCTTTTCTTCCAGCTCCCCCCGAATATTCCTCGGTCGTGTCCAGTGAAGAGTCTGCGCAGAGCCTGTCCCCGCCCTGCCAGGATGAGCTGGGCAGTGGCTTGGAAGGCCCTTTCTTTGCCTACATCCAGGAGTTCCGCTACCGTCCTCCTCCACTCTACTCCGAGGTGGGTACCGCATCCCCGGGGCGGGAGAGTGGGGGACTTTGCTGGGATCGGTCCTCCTGTGGTGCCTGGTCCAACCCCTCCTCTCTTGGCCTTTCAGGTGGATCCAAACCCCGCCTCCGACAGCATCCGGCCACGCTGCATGACCTGTTGAAGGAGGCACTGAGTGCCGTTGCTGAATTCAAATCCTGTGGGGGTGAGAAGCTTGCCGACTCGCAGGACTTCAGCCCCGAGCATCAGGAACAGTGGCCAAGAGGCGGTCGCGAGGCTGACGTTCCTGTGGTGCTGGGAACCAGTTTCCTCCCTGCCGCTCGAAACTGCCCGTCTTGCCCTATAGCTGAAAGGAGGATGTTGGACTTGCTGTGTGGGGTAGGGGCGGCTCCTGAGTGTGGGGCCAGGTGGCAGCGGGAGAGGAGGGTGGAGGGCTAAATTCTTCTGCAGGGTGCCCAGGAGCAAGCCGAGTTCTGTGCTCCTGCTCCAGCTGACTCCAGTGGAAGGAAACCAGGCTGGGACATGCTGCTCTGGATGACCGGAGAGCGTTTGACTCTTGCTCTGGATAAGGCGGGAGGATTGCCGTGCTGTTTGTTCACTGGATTCCTGTCTCCGAGGAATTAAATGGGGTTGTGCTCCCCAAGCGGCGGCTCAGCCCCCATCCGCCATAGATGGGGCAGCATCTGGTCTGACGCGCTGGGACTCGGACGCCCTTAAAGACTTGTTTCGGGACTGTGTAGGCGAGGAGCTGGGAGCTCAGGGAGGAGCATAAACAGCAGCCAGCCCATCTGGGTCTCGGCCGGGCCCAAACCGGCAAAAAAAAAAACCACTGGACCTTTTGCCGGGCAGGCCTCTTTAAAGGGCTCCTGCCGTGGGGGGCGCTGGTGGCCTTTGGTCACCGTCTCGATGCAAGAGGACAAGGTGAATGGGAAATCGGGGAAGCTACGAGCCGCAGGGTCAGTCCCTGATATGGTCAGTGTCACGTAGCCCAGCGCCGGAGGCCACTGCCCTTGAGGCCTGTAGCAGCTCTGGGCTGAGCAGATAAGAGCCTTCGGTCCACTCTGGCTCTAGTTGAGCTGCCTGCGGACTTGCTGCCTTGTGAATGCTTCAGCCAGCCCCCCCGGAGGGTGGGGCAGAGTCCCGGGCCTGCTGGTCACAAAGCACTGGAAGCTGGCGGAGCCTGTTCCCTGGGGGAAGAGGAGGTTGCAATGAAGATTGCTTGGGTGCATCCGCCTTTGGCTTCAGGCTGCTCGTACTGGTCCCTCCGCAGCCTTGACCAGAGATCTTGGCCATTGCTAGCGGAACAAATGCATTCCATGATCTGAGACTGAACCTGCCTGACGTGGTCGCCCCCAGGTTGGGGGCAGAGAGGGGAGAGCCACGGGCAGCCAGAGTTATTCCAGCTTCGTCCTTCACCGGCTGGCTTGCAGCTATGCAGCCTGCTCCCCCACTAAGGATGGGGCAGGCTTTTTTGATATCCCTGTTGGTGTATGAGAGTATTTTTGTCTCATTCTGCTTTTGTACAACTCCAGGTTTTGCAATAAACTTTTGCTCTATTGAAGTGAGTGTCTGACAGTGTCCTAGGAATTCTACTTCCGGTCCTGCCTGCAGGGCCCACCTGTTTACATGGCATGCGGCCGGCAGAGCCAGTGACTTAGACTTTGGGTCATTCGTTTCTGTCTTTGTCCCTCGTTCTCTGGATTTCCCCCTCCTCCCAGAGCCAGCCAGACTTCTGGCCCGGTCTGTCCCTCGTTCTCTGGGTTTCCCCTTCCTCCCAGAGCCAGCCAGACTTCTGGCCCTGGCTTAGACCCTCCTAGATCTTGCATTTGGCAGTGCTGGCTCCGGACAGTCCATTCTGTCGCCCATCCCAGCCCCAGCTCTGGGTGTCCTGTCTAGCTGGTGCTGCAGTCTGACTGCTCTCCCATCAGGAGAATCCAGCTGCTCTCCCTCCAGCTCAGGCCTGACCCAAGCTAGGTCTGAGCCATCAATACCCCTTTCTAGGCCTGATGCCTGCACTGGTGGGGCAGGACCAATTGGCTTCGGGCTCCCATTAAATCCAGTTTTGCTTTGTTCCCCTCGAGTCTTGCAGACTGGCTGTCCCTAGGAACATGGGCTGATCTCCATGCCATCTGCCCAGTGTGCTCTGGGCAGCCCTGCAACACCCTCTGCCTTGGGATGCAATGTGGGGTGATGCTGATGTGTTTAGGGGAGCTCTCAGGCAGGCTGCCTGGTGCTTTCCTACCCCCTTTCCCTCTTATCAGTGCTCCCCTTCTAGAGTCCCAGGCATGGCTGGACCTGTCTATGCCCTTCTCTGCTTGAGGCCCAGAGCTGCTTCAGACTCTGACCTGCTCCCCTGTCCCTCACGTCACCTGGTGTCTGACCCCGTCTTGGGATGAGCTCAGCACTGTTCTGTGTAGCTCGGGGGTGGGGAGCCTCTTTTGGGTTGCAGGCTGCTGCCCCATAGAAAAATCACACAGTGAGAAGAGCAAAAAAACATATTTGCCCTCACACTAAAGCCGGGCTAGTAGACTTTTGTTGTCTGTTTTCCTCCCTTTCCCTCCCTCCCCCCCCGCCCCATGCTCTGTGGGGGAGCTGCTGGGAACCAGACTTGTGGGGTGGGAAGGAGAGAGTGGGAGGGTTGTAGGGGCAGGAGCATGCTGGGGGGCAGGGGTCCAAGTGGGAGGGGGACTGCAGGGCAGGATTGCCAGCTCGCCAATACTGGGGCAGTAGCCCTGAGCCTCGGGGGCTGGATCCAGGCAAGCCAGGGGCCACATCTGACCCCCCGGGCCTGAGTTTCCCCAAAGTGGTCCCTGCATTCAGCTGCCAGGTCCCAGCCCTGGGTGGGTAAGTAGGGGGGGGGGTGTCATGGACCCAGAAGTGCACGGAAGTTGTGGCTTCTTCAAGGCTGCACAGAGCTCATGAGGTGGGAATGGAACCTGAGCCCGACTCCAGGCCTTTGTGAGCCCTGGCTGAGGTTCCCGGCTACACTGGGCACTGACGGGCCCGGCAGCCCTCCTGCGCCCAGCTCTGCGCGGTGGGATGCCTTGGGACTGAGCCGGGCTCTGCAAGCCACAGGGCGGGTGCTGGTGGAAAGGGGCCGATGGCAGCCGGGGCACCGGCCAGCAGCCCTGTGGAGCAAGGGCAGTGCGGCGTCCACAGAGGGCTGCCGGGGGGTCGGTGTGGCGCGTGCCGTAGTAGCAGGGAGCTGAAGTACAGGTGACCGGGCCCTAGCACAGCCCAAGCCTCTTGGAGGGCAGAACTATCCTGTGGTGAGCTCAAAGGTGCTGCCTGGGCCGGAGGCCTGTACGGGCCGTGCCTTGCAGCTAGGCTGGCCCAGGACTGGCCGGTCCCTAAGCGTCCTTCCAAGGCTTGGAAGCAGCTGAACAGCTCCATGACAGCAGCATTCATTAGCACTGGGGCAGTACCCCTGGAGCCAGGCAGGTGCTGGGTGAGCGAGGTGCAGTAGGCACCCAGCAGGAGGTGGGTGGGGTGCTGGGATGGGCACCAGGACTCTTTAAGGTTGCCAGATGGTTTAAAAAAAAAATACCGGATAAAAATTTGTCCAAAAAAAAAGAGCCTGGGAATAATCAGAGAGGCCTGGGGAGGGGGAGATTCAGGAGGTCTGGCTGAAATGCAGTCACGGGCCCTTTTAATTGCCGCATGTCCCTAGTGGGCTTCCGTCGGGTGCTGAGCTGGACCAGGTTAAAACCGAAAAACGTCCTTACTTAGAAAATACCAGACATTTCTATGTCCGGTATTTCCTCCATTTGTTTCCTGGACACAAAGTCCAAATACTGGACGGTCCGGTTCAATACCAGACACCTGGCACCCCTAGGACTCGTACAGCTTTCGACGCTGGAGCAGCCGAACCCAGCCTGCTCTGTGATTGGCCGGGAGCCGGCTCCTGTGCAGGGGAGAGTCCGGCGGCTGCTCATTAAAGGAACTTGTGCCCTTCCTTTCTGACCACCCAACCCAGGTTAATCAGGGTCCCGGAGCAGATGCTGGGTGTGACCCTCCTAATACCTGTCTCGACACGGCCCTGCCCTTGGACGAGCTTTGCTTAATTAATTTCCTGTTATTGCTATTGTATTTTTCCATCCTTGGGCTTTAGGCCTGCGGCAGCAGCCAGCGGGCTGGCCAGACATGGTGGGCCCCAGCTGGGAGCCACGTGGGTGAAAGTAGAGCAGTGGGTCCGTGCCATCGGCTGCAGCACATCCTGCCTTCCCGCGCTGGTTTTTATTTTTCATTTGTAGCCCCCCCTAACCCGCATCACGCAGAGGGGCAGATCCTGCGTCCTTGCCCCATGGGCATATCTGGGTTCCGGCACGGTGCAGTGTTGGTGCTGCCAGTTACAAGCGGAGCGCGGGGCGTCCATAAAGTGGCGCATCGCACGAGGGGATGCGGTGCCCTGGGCCGGTGCCTGTGTTTACACTTTGCACACGTGCCCTGGCTCGTTTTGGTTTGTTTTCCCAGTCACTGCAAAAACCAGCCCCTTGTTTATGGGGAAACACGGGACACGCCCCCAGCCCCGCTCTCCCCCCGTCACCCCTGGCGTGGGGACAGTGTAGTGTGAGCCAGGCACTGGCCTGCTGCCTTAGGGAATCCAACCCCAATAGGCACCAAGTCAAGCTACAGCATGGGACTAAAAATACATGTTGTTTTTCAAGCAGCGATTCTTCCGGGAATTCTCCCTGTGTTTGTTGGAATGCCATCCTCTGCTTGGCTAGTCATCCAGCTGGTGCATCAGGCGGCCATGCTGTGTCTGTTCCTAATCAGAGGCGGAAAGGAACAGAGCGCTCACTGTATACATACTGTATTACACAGAGATGCCCTGTGGCCAAGCCGTGGCCAAGGGGCAGGCCGGCCTCATGCAAGCGAGTTTCATAATCGACATCAACAGAGTCGTTGGAAGGCGCGTCCAACATCTTACTCCCAAATCTGTTTATCTCAGCCAGTTCCAACCTCTTGGGTAAAGCCCTTGCCTGCCTGGGTAAGTCCTAAATCCCTTGTTTATAAATTCAGCAGGCTCCCAGGTGCGGGCACAGCGCCTACAGCAACAGAGCAATAACAATAACACCGCTCCCATTCGCCCACCCTTTGCCCTGCGACTCCCTGGCCAGGAGGTCGGGCAGCACCTCACGCCAGGGGCACCGAGATTTAGCACACACAGGGCCGTTAGCTGTGGTCCCCGAGGCTGCATCCCTCTTCGCGCATCCCTTTGCAGATCCCTTTTTGCGCAAAACCCCCTTTTTCCGCAAGATCGGTAGACCTCCTTTTTGGGGGTGTAAGGATCTTGCGGAAAAAGGGGTTTTTTGCGCGAAAAGGAAACATCCACACGGCTTATTTTTGCGCAAAAACCCCTAGCGCAAAAACGGAGCGGCAGAAAATATGCAAATGAGATTGCGACTCATGCAAATGAGCCCCTCGTTAGCGTATTTTTTGCCGCGGTGTAGATGTAGCCCGACAGGCTGCAGTCCAGCGTCCCAGTCTCGTGCTCTCACCCCTGCTTCCTTGGATTGGTCAGGGGGCGGCATCTGCTGGCCGGTGGGCTTACGA